ATAAATTATTGAGTGCTTAGAAAAAAAACGGGAGATACGAATAGGGAGAGCTGCTAACAAAACTCTACAAATGACGCTTCAGGTTAATTATCTCTTTTGTAAAATCGTACTACTAACTAATATAAGGGACTGAAAAAACAACAACAATAACAACAACAATGCTATCTTGAACTATGCTGTAAGATATTTATAAATTTTAATAAGAAACAAAAAAAGGTCTGCGTAATTTTATTGCAGCAATAAAATAATTTGAAATCAAAATTCCAGACAGTTTATAATTTTTAAAAATAGTTTTTTTTTTAAATATTTTTAAGAACACACACAACTATGTTGTCAGTGTATTATAGCTTTGTGCAGCCCCAAGAGTTTGTAACGCCGCGAAATATTTGTCCTAGACCCACCTTTAAGTATACCGATCGTCATATCTCGACTAGCTGAGTCGATCTTGACATGTGTGTCCGTCCGTCCGTCAGTCCATTATAATTTGTAAACACGATACAGGCCACAGTTATGGATCAATCTTAACGAAAATTTGCATGTAGGATGGGCTGTGGCTAATGAAGACCCCTATTGTTTTTGGTAAACATCGGTTAATGTTTAGGGGACCAAATACTTAATTTTTGTCGGTTTTTCTGGTCGCTCCAGAGGCTGCAGTTATGGTCCGAACATCTTGAGATTTTACATGGAGAAGGGGATCGGACCAAAGAATACGCATGCCTGTTTTGATAAAGATCGGTCAATATTTAGCGGGTCAAATGGACCCTGACTTTTGTGTAAAAATTTATAAAATTTTTATTCTGGGTCGTATATATTTACCCCGGATGGACATAGACCCCAGAAGTTGATAGTATATCCAAGAGGAGTCGTTGGCCTTTAAATTGATACCAATTATATGGTCGTATGTACCCAGATGTGGGAGTTACACTTAAATATTTACAGGTGCCTATGTATTCAGATATTATTTAGTAACCCTTTACCACACTAGAGGGCGGAAATACAGCGCTGATAGCTTTAAAATATTCCATGCAGTTCCACTTATGGTCAAGGATAACGCCTACAATTTTCGGTGACGATCAGATAATTGATGAAGTGGACCGAAAACTTAATTTTTTTTTGTGTTTTTTCGAGTCGATGTATAGGCTCAAATGGGAATAAGAAGATCAAAACAAGCGAAGAGAATCTGGACAAGTAATTAGAATGGCTGTACTGAACATTAGTAATAATTGTCGGGCTCTAGTTGGTCCAGATGGTTCAAATATCATGAAATATTGCCCAAGCTCAGAATATTGATCCACAGAAAGTTTGGTTTTCGTGGAAGTTGTATAGGGTATCATATGGTCGGCCCCGTCCGACTATACTGCTCCGCTCACTGGTTTTTTTGTGTTTTTTTCGAATCGATCTATAGGCAAAAAATGAAAGCCGAACATTACAACACAACCCATGGTGAAGGAAACCTGGACAAGTAATTAGAATGGCTGTCCTAAATATTAGTAATAATAGTATTTGTTGACCTAGTCTAGTCGGTCATGAGGGTACAAATATCGCGAAGTATTGCCCAAGCTCAGAATGTAGTACCACAGAAAGTTAGATTTTCGTTGTGTAGGGTATCATATGGTCGTTGTTAGGGTATCACATGGTCGGCCCGTCTGACTATACTGCTCCGCTCACCGGTTTTAAAAATATTTTTAAGGGACCTACACAAGGTGTGGATTTTTTATACCCATCACCATATCTGAGGTACACGGTATTATGTCTTTGTGCTGCATATGTTTGTAACAGGCAAAAGGAATCGAGATGGACCCATGGATCCTTTTGAGAATATGCATAGAATCACTTTCTAAGTCGATTTATGCATGTCCGTCCGTCTGTCTGTCCATGTTAAATTGTAAACAAAGTACAGGTCGCATTTTTGATTCGAATTGGATGAAATTTGGCACAGCTAATTTATTTGGCCCAAAGACAATCCCTATTGAAGTTGGGAAAAATCGGTTCAAATTTCGATATAGCTCCCATATATATTTTCGTCCGATTTAAGGTAAATGGTGGGCCAATGTCCCTAAATATCCTTCGATTTATACGAAATTTGGCATAGCGTACTGAATTGAGTCTAGAATAATGTGTGTTAAGTTTCGTGAAAATCGCTTCAGATTTAGATATAGCACCCGTATATATTTTCGTCCGATTTTATGTAAATGGTGTACCAAAGTCCCTAAATGTCTTTCGATTTGCACGAAATTTCACACCACTTACTGAATTGAGCCTAGAATGATGTGTGCTAAGTTTCGTGAAAATCGGTCCAGATTTAAATATAGCTCCCATATATATTTTCGTCCGATTTATGACAAATGGTGCACCAAAGTCCCTAAATATCTTTCGATATGCACGAAATTTGGCATAGCGTACTGAATTAGGTCTAGAATGATATGTGTTAAGTTTCGTGAAAATCGGTCCAGATTTAGATATAGCTCTCATATATATTTTCGTTCGATTTAAGGTAAATGCTGCACCAAAGTCTTGTAATATCTTTCGATTTGCACGAAATTTTGCACAGCGTACTGAATTAGGTCCAGAATTTTATGTGTTAAGTTTCGTGAAAATCGGTTCAGATTTAGATATAGCTCTCATATATATTTTCGTCCGATTTCAGGAAAATGGCGTACCAAAGTCCCTAAATATCTTTCGATTTGCACGAAATTTGGCATAGCGTACTAAATAGAGTCTAGAATGATGTGTTTTGAGTTTCGTGAAAATCGGTTCAGATTTAGATATTGCTCCCATATATATTTTCGTCCGATTTCAGGTAAATGGTGGGCCAATGTCCCTAAATATCTTTCGATTTATACGAAATTTGGCACAGCGTACTGAATTGAGTCTAGAATAATGTGTGTTAAGTTTCGTGAAAATCGCTTCAGATTTAGATATAGCTCCCGTATATATTTTCGTCCGATTTAATGTAAATGGTGCGCCAAAGTCCCGAAATATTTTTCCATATGCACGAAATTTGGCATAGCGTACTGAATTAGGTCTAGAAAGATGTGTGTTAAGTTTCCTGAAAATCGGTCCAGATTTAGATATAGCTGCCATATATATTTTCGTCCGATTTAATGTAAATGGTGTACCAAAGTCCCTATATATCTTTCGATTTATACGAAATTTGGCATAGCGTATTGAAAAAAGTCTAGAATGATGTGTGTTAAGTTTCTTGAAAATCGGTCCAGATTTAGATATAGCTCTCATATATATTTTCGTCCGATTTAATGTAAATGGTGTACCAAAGTCCCTATTTATCTTTCGATTTGCACGAAATTTGGCATAGCGTAATGAATTACGTCTAGAATGATGTGCGCTAAGTTTCCTGAAAATCGGCCCAGATTTAGATATAGCTCCCATATATATCTTCGTCCGATTTAATGTAAATGGTGTACCAAAGTCCCTAAATATATTTCGATTTACACGAAATGTGGCACAGCGTACTGAATTAGGTCTAGAATGATATGTGTTAAGTTTCGTGAAAATCGGTTCAGATTTAGATTATAGCTCTCATATATATCCTCGTCCGATTTAAGGTAAATTGTGTACCAAAGTCCCTATATATCTTTCGATTTGCACGAAATTTGGCATAGCGTACTGAATTAGGTCTAGAATGATGTGTGCTAAGTTTCTTGAAAATCGGTCCAGATTTAGATATAGCTCTCATATATATTTTCGTCCGATTTAATGTAAATGGTGTACCAAAGTCCCTAAATATCTTTCGATTTACACGAAATGTGGCACAGCTTACTGAATTAGGTCTAGAATGATGTGTGTAAAGTTTCGTGAAAATCGGTTCAGATTTAGATATAGCTCACATATAAAATTTTCGTCCGATTTAAGGTAAATGGTGCGCCAAAGTCCCTAAATATCTTTCGATATGCACGAAATTTGGCAAAGCGTACTAAATTAAGTCTAGAATGATGAGTGGTAAGTTTCGGGAAAATCGGGTTTCCTATCATTTATTTAATATTGTTGCGTAGCACTAATTTCTAAAGTGTGTTGCATACTTTTAGGCGTGATCTCTTTATTGACATCAGTGTTTTCTGAATTATTCAATTTAATCTCTGAAACGATTATTTATTTATGGTCCCATACCCAAATCACTGTGCCTAGTGCAGTACTAAGAAAAAATAGGTTGGCCCCAAGAGTCATTAACATTTCATCATGTTTGCTCATATATAATATTATCAAGCCATATGATTATTATTATTACTATATAATTATTGCAAATCGTTAATAAAAAATGTCTCCCTCATCTTATCATTTCAGCAAGCAAAAACAAAACAAAAAAACTGGCTCTATTAACACCCCCATAAAGTACAAATTGAGAGCGAACAGCAGTGATCGCGCACTAGCTAGATCACTATCAAGAAAAATGCCAACAACCAGCGATTGCCGGGCAAACAAACAATAACATTTGAATCGGATTGCTCACACACAGACGACTGGATAGAAGCGTCATAAAATCGACAAACCACCACCTTAGAATAAGAAAATAACAAAAAACAAACAAATAAGACCTGTCAAGATCATAAACCGCGAGTACAAGCGGCTTATCTACGATTTTTCTCCAAAAAAACAACGATTACAACTCGGGCAGGCCAGTTTGTTGTGGATGAGGAAATCTATCATAAAGGAGAGAGAGAGTGAGGAAGGGAGCGACAAGATATCGAGTGGTGGGGTGGTATGCCTATCAAATGCTTTGGAAAAAAAATTTTACCCATGGCTCAGGTGTTGTTAGTTGTTAGCAAGCAATTACCTCCAGCGGTTGATGGTGGTTGGAGGAAAAACTAAACACTTTTCAATGTAATTTTTTCAAATGCCATGCAGCAGATTCAAAACTGTGAGATTTTCTTAATATTATTAACGACATTCTAAAAGAACAAAAAGTGATTTGTTTTTTTGAGATCTAATCCAAAAACTGTGATATAAAATTTAAGAAAAAACAAAAACTGAAATTATCGAAGCAATGGCCGTGATCAATAAACGTTTGTTGCCCATTAAGGCTCACTATTTCTTTTTTATGGCGTGTAAGTAGCTAGAGTTTTTTTTAATTTTTATTTCAAAATTATAATTAATATTTTTCCTTTTTTTCTTCACAGCCATGGGTCCCATTTTACCCCAATTAGCGGTTATTGGCAAACAAATTGGCATAGATCCGGAGGTAATGGGCTATATTACCTGCATTTTGCCGGTAATGTATGTCATCGCTAAGCCGATGTTTGGTTTTATTGCTGATTATTTTTCGGTAAGTTGGAAATGATGTGGGCGATATATAAGGCCTGGATTTTTAAAAATATTTTTTAAAGGAGCTATAAGAGGCCTGGAATTATTTTAAAAGCTTTATTATAAATAGAAAAGGATTTTTATTAACGTAGATATTTTTCCCCAAAGGTTTTTTCTCTTCTATTTGCAGAAGATCCCACGAAGTTCTAGTAGAAGAATATATATAAGAACTTCTATATAATATGATTATTAGAAGGTCGTATCTTAGTAAAGGACATGTCCCCTTACAAGCCTTAAACAGATTGGAATCCGACTATATGCATATAGTCGGATTCCAATATGTTTAAGGCTTGTATAAAATATTATTTCTAACAAGGATCGTTATGATAGATTTTAAATGCCTTTCAAAGTGGTTTTCATCCTCATGGCCACAAACTGTAGCAAACTGCTCAAAGATTTTTATACCCTTCACTCCACTGTGGTACAGGGTATTATGTCGTTGTGTACATGTTTGTAACCGGCAAAAGGAAACGAGATAGAGACATGGTTCTTTTTGAGAATATGCATAGAATCACTTTCGAAGTCGATTTATGCATATCCGTCCGTCCATCTGTCCATGTTAAAGTGTAAACAAAGTGCATGTCACATTTATTATTCGAATTGGATAAAATTTGGCCCAAGTCACTTATTTGGCCCAAGGACAAACCCTATTGAAATTGAAAAGAAAATCAGATCAGATTTAGATTTAGCTCCCATATATATTTCGTGCGATTAAGAGTAAATGGTACACCAAATTCCCTATATATCGTTCGATTTGCACGAAATTTGGCATAGCGTACTAAATTAAGCCTGGAATTATGTGTGCTAAGTTTCTTAAAAATCGGTTCAGATTTCGATATAGCTCCCATATACATATTTACGTCCGATTTAATGTAAATGGTTCACCAAAGTCCCTATATATCTTTGGTTTGCACGAAATTTGGCACAGCGTACTGAGCTAAGACTAGAATGATTTGTGCTTAGTTTCGTGAATATCGGTTTGGATTAAGATATAGCTACCATATATATATTTGCGACCGATTTAATGTAAATGGTTCACCAAAGTCCCTAAATGTCTTTCGATTTGGATGAAATTAAGTCTAGAATGATGTGTGCTAAATTTTGTGGAAATCGGTTCAGATTTAGATATAGCTCCCATATATATTTTTGTCCGATTTAATGTAAATTGTGTACCAAAGTCCCTATATATCATTCGAAATTTGGCATACCGTACTAAATTAAGTCTAGAATGATGTGTGCTAAGTTTCGTGAAAATCGGTTCAGATTAAGATATAGCTTCGATATATATTTTCGTCCGATTTAAGGTAAATGATGCACCAAAGTCCCTATATCTCTGCACGAAATTTGGTACAGCGTATTGAATTAAGTCTGGAATGATGTGTGTTAAGTTTCGTGAAAATCGGTACAGATTTAGATACAGCTCCCATATATAAGTTCGACCGATTTAATTTAAATGGTTCATCAAAGTCCCTATATATCATTCGATTTGCTCGAAATTTGCCATAGCGTACTAAATTAAGTTTAGAATGATGTGTGATAAGTTTTGTGGAAATCGGTTCAGATTTCGATATAGCTCCCATATATATTTTCGATTCGATTTGCCCAAACGTGTGCTAAGTTTCGTGAAAATCTGTATAGATTTAGATATATCTCCCATATATATTATCGTCCGATTTAATGTAAATGTTTCAGCAAAGTCCCTATATATCTTTCGATTTGCCCAAAATTTGACACAGCGTATTGAATTTAGTCTATAATGACGTGTGTTAAGTTTCGTGAAAATCGGTTCAGATTTAGATATAGCTCCCATATATATTATCGTCCGATTTAATGTAAATGTTTCAGCAAAGTCCCTATATATCTTTCGATTTGCCCAAAATTTGACACAGCGTATTGAATTTAGTCTATAATGACGTGTGTTAAGTTTCGTGAAAATCGGTTCAGATTTAGATATAGCTCCCATATATATTTTCGTCCGATTTAATGTAAGTGGTGCATCACAGTCCCTATATAAATTTCAATTTCCACGAAATTTGGCACAGCGTAATGAATTAGGTCTAGAATGATGTATGCCAAGTTTCGTGAAAATCGGTTCATATTTTGATATAGCTCCCATATATAATTTCGTTCGATTTAATAGAAAGAAGATTATCCAACTCGTATCTTTGTTAAAGACTGTGTTCACGCCAGGTTTTCCACCCCTGATACCCATTCATCGAAAATGTCGATAAAATCAGTGAAGTGATCGAAGTTGACCGGCATTTTAGCAGTCGCCCAGGAGCTAAAAATTGACCATAAAACAGTTTTAAACCCTTTACACAAGGCTGGATTCAAAAAGATGCTCGATGTTTGGGTTCCACACCAATTAACAAAAAAAATAGGATGGATCGAATTTCCTTGTGCGAAACCTTTGTCAAACTGAATGAGATAGACCCATTTCTTAAACGAATGGTGATTGGAGCTGAGAAATGGATCACATACGATAACCCTGTGCGAAAACGATCGTGGTCAAAGAGCGGTGAAGTACCTCAAACGCTGGCCAAACCAAGACTAACGATTAGTAAGGTTCTGCTAAGCATTTGGTGGGACTGCAAGAGTATTATTTATTATGAGTTACTTCCATATGGCCAAACTCTAAATTCTGATCTCTACTGTCAACAACTGGACCGTTTATAGATAGCATTTGACCATAAACAGCCAGAATTGACCAAGTGGAGAGGTGTTGTGTTCCACCAAGACAACGCTAGGCCACACACATCTACAGTGACTCGCCTGAAACTTCGGGAGCTTGGTTGGGAAGTTTTAATGCATCCGCCACACAGTCCGGAATTGGCACAAAGCGGTTATCATAGATTTGAAATAACTTTCAAAGTGGTTTTCATCCAAATGGTCACAATTGGCGATTTTCGATCTGTAGGAAACTGTTCAAGAGTTGTTATACCCTTTACCACACTGTGGATCACATAAGATAACCCTACGCGAAAACGATCGTGTCCAAAGAGCGGTTTGGCCACCGTTTGAGATACGGTGGCCAAACCAGAACTAACGGCCAGGAAGGTTCTACAATGCATTCCGTGGGACTGCATGGGGATTATTTATTATGAGTTGCTTCCATATAGCCAAACGGTATTCTGATCTCTACTGTCACCTGGACCGTTTGAAGATAGTAATTGACCAGAATTGGCCAACGGGAGAGGTGTCATGTTCCACCAATACAACGCTAGGTCACACACAGTTACTACAGGGATTCGCCAGAAACTTCGGGAGCTTGGTTGGGAAGTTTTAATGCATCCGCCATACAGTACGGACTTGGCACCAAGCGATTATCATCTTTTTCGTGCGTTGCAAAATTTCTTTAACGATAAAAAAATTGGTAACTAGGGAGGATTGTGAAAATCGACTACTAGAATTTTTTTTGCAAATGGCAACAAATCATACAACAAAACGGTGCATATTTGGACATTCCGAAGCATGTTAAATAAAGTCGTATAGTTCATATAAAAATAATGGATTTCTTCTCCCCACAACCTAATATATAAGAATGCATTTATGGCCTTTAAAAATATGTTTCATTTCACATTTTGGGTCTTCTGTAAAAAGTATATTTGTCCTACATACTTCTTCCCCGTCTTCTTTTAATTTAATTTCCACATCTTATAGTTTTAATATAATTTCTACCATTAAAATTATTTTCTTACATCTATCTGGACTCCATTCTGACCTTTAATAAGAAAGTCATTAGGTCCATCTATAACCAGACCATTGTATATAAAACGGATTGGTGTTCTATAGTGGCGTTTCTTAATGACCAATGTCGATCTCTAGATGACTTCTATATGCAGAATAACTATGGGAGATATTTTTTAAATAGAATACCTTTGAAAGAATTCTCGCCACAACTATTTTCTGTAATGTTGTCTAAATAAAAGTCCGCTAGAAAATCTATATTTATAGACGACCTCTAGCAGTTCTTCTATCTATAGAAAACCTTTGGAATCCTTTTACAGGGCCTTTGAAATAGCTTTTTCTTAATTTTTTTTTAATATATTTCTTTTTTAATAATAATATTTCTCTTTCTCTTCTTCTTTCAGCATTTCCGAAAATGCATATTCATTTTCTTGATAGTCGGTATGATCTTGTCCTATGCCGGTTTCTATTTTATACCCGAAAATTCAACGACAATACAGATGACGCCAAACGCCTTGGAAAATATTACCATGGATATGCGAAATATAACCCAATGTGATGAAAAGGTAAGTAGGAGATAAAGGGGCTGAGAGAGGGAATAAATGACATTTGATAACTCTCAAATTATAAACAATAGTCTGACAATTCGTTTTTTTGTTTATTGATCGCCCGGATATCTTATCAGACATTAAATGGAAAGTAAAAATTTTATTAAACAAAATGTGTGGTTGGGGGAGAGAACGATTAATTATTGTTAGCAACAATCAGATTTCGTTTCTTTATATAAATGTCTAACTCAAATTATCTTTAAATAAATCATTATTAGCTAGACAAATTAAATATTCATTGTCTGGATATAAAGTGGTTTATGGGCCCCCAAATTTAAACAAACACTCAGGGCGTGAATGATATAATTTTCTTTTTATTAGTGCTATAATTGTTAATATAAATGAGGTAATGAAAATCCCCCTTTTCTCCCTCGGGGTTTAAATTTTTATACCCTTCATCACACTGTGGTACAGGGTATTATGTCTTTTTGCATATGTTTGTAACAGGCAAAAGAAAACGAGATAGACACATGGTGCCCCAGAGAATATGCATAGAATCACTTTTTAAGTCGATTTATGCATGTCCGTCCGTCTGTCTGTCTCTCCGTGTTAAATTGTAAACAAAGTACAGGTCGCATTTATGATCCAAATTGGATGAAATTTGGCATAGGTCACTTATTCGGCCCAAGGACGAACCCTATTGAAATTGGGAAAAATCGGTTCAGATTTAGGTATAGCTCCCATATATATATTTAACCGATTTAATGTAAACGACCCCTATATAACTTTCGATTTGCACGAAATTTGGTACAGCCTAACCATTTAGGTCTAGAATGATGTCTGCCAAGTTTCGTGAAAATCGTTCCAGATTTAGATATAGCTCCCATATATAGTTTCGTCCGATTTCATGTAAATGGTGCCCCAAAGTCCCTATATATCTTTCGATTAGCACGAAATTTGGTACAGCCTAATCATTTAGGTCTAGAATGATGTCTGCCAAGTTTCGTGAAAATCGTTCCAGATTTAGATATAGCTCCCATATATAGTTTCGTCCGATTTCATGTAAATGGTGCCCCAGAGTCCCTATATATCCTTCGATTTGCACGAAATTTGGCATAACGTTTTTAATTGAGCATAGATTTATGTCTGCCAAGTTTCATGAAAATCGTTCCTGATTTAGATATAGCTCCCATATATAGTATCGTCCGATTTCATGTAAATGGTGCACCAAAGTCCCTGTATATCCTTCGATTTGCACGAAATTTGGCATGACGTACTGAATTGAGCCTAGAGTGATGTCTGTCTTGTTTCGTGAAAATCGGTCCAGATTAAGATATAGCTCCCTTTTATTAGAGATTGATTTCAAGTAAATTGGGCATCATACTCCTCATGTTAGTCAGATTGACATCAAATTTTGCACAACGTACAAAATTGAGCATAGAATTACGTAGTTGCGTTTTCTAGAAGTACAGACATAGTCCAACGGATGACCTATGTATATTTGTTTGAAGTCGATTTACATACTTTATGGATAGATCTAGGTAGATTCACATTTAGATAAATATCAAATATTTTATTTAATCCAATTTCATGTTAATAGTCCTGTTTAATATACCCATAGTGGTGAAGGGTATCATATAGTCGGCCCGTCCGACTTTACTACTTTCCTTACTGGTTACTATAAGAAATGTGTATGAGACTTTCCAGTTATAAATTTTATATAGAAGATACCCTTATATACCATATCGAAATGTGAACCTGTTACATTTAGAAATACCCCAAATTACCATCAACTTTCATTCCTATAATTATACCTTTATAGTACGTTTACATTGTACCGGAATTATTAAATTGATCTAGATTGTCAGTTCAGTTCTAAGAGGATTTATTTGACATATATGTATGTCAAATAAATCCTCTTCTAATGTAAATGCCATTTTAAATGCCTCTCTCTTTAATTCACACTAATTTCTACAGCCTCTTCTTCTTCTTCTTCTTTTCAATTTCAGATATTCTCTGCATTAAATTTCAACACATCTTCAAACAAAGCTTTATGCGAGGACTACAACAGCAATTTAACTTTCCCAGCCTATTTTGTGGACCCTCAAAATCCTGGAATTTTGGAACTCAATCTAACCTCAAATGTTCAACAATATTTTAT